CGATCCCGGGGCATGGATGGCAGTCTTTCAGTCCTCGATTGAGGGGAATGGCTGCATTCTTTCTAGATCCAGGGGCATGACTGGCATTCTTTCTCGATCCAGGGGCATGGCCAGTACTCTTTCTTGTTCCGAGGGCATGACTGGCATTCTTTATCGATCCTGGAGTATGGCTGGCATTCTTTCTCGATCGAGGGGTGTGGCTGCCATTCCGTCTCCGCCCAGGTGCATGGCTAGCATTCTTTCTCGATCGATGGGCATGGCTAGCATTCTTTCCCGATCGAGGACATGGCTGGCATTCTTTCTCGATCGAGGGGCATGGCTGGCCCAACCAATCAAAATTAACCACTGCGTGCCATGTACCTCTGTCCTACACTAACCAATCAAAGATAACCATTGCACGCTTCCGCTCCCACTGGTTCTCAGAGAATGAGTCTCTCGGAGAAGGTGTCGCAGAAGCGTGCGAAGTGCGCCAGCATTGATCTTATATAGGGACTCCGAGTCAGAAACAGCACCTAGTGCCAGTTGCGGTGTTGGGTACTAACACAAAATGATGAAACTGGTCTGCTTCCACGACCAGGTAGGTGCTAAGCTAACACAATCTCATGGGGAGAGGTTCGAGACATGGGATCTGGAGGGGTTACCCACCACGAGGGTGTAGTGGGGTTGCTCACCAGATAGGTTTGGTCCTCGACATCAGTTGAAGTCGAATAATTCAAGAAGTAGTACGTGCACCATATGTGCAGGCTAAGCAGGATAAGCACACCCAAAGGCCATCTCCGCTGCCGACGCGCTAGTCCACTCGCCACAGCCATTCTGTTACAAACAGTTATATCTGTCCCTCAGATACAAAAAGTGGAAGAGGAATGGCAGCTATTCAACCCGTTCTTGGGATATATAATATATATACATACAGTTTACCGGGCACATTCTATTTGAGGACATATATAGATAGATGAGAGAGAGAGAGAGGGAGGGAGGGTAGAGCTGTCATTGTTGAGAGGTGTAAGCTAGGGAATATATGCATATATGTCCATACATTTATATATGTAGCCAAGACGTTGATGAGAGAGAGAGAGGGAGTCATTGTATCGTTCATGCCATCTCTATTCTGTCGTCGTTTGCTCTCCTCCATTTCCCGGCGGCATCCTAGGCACATTCCTATGTGTGTATACTATGGCCTTCGTTAGACATCAGCTGATTTTGCTTCCATTCTTTTTTTCCTCTTCTCATGTCCCCTCATCCCACTTCTCCCGCATTTGACTTGGTATCACCCTCTGTTCTACCGGCCTTTTGTATTGCCAGCTTCCTTTGATCCTCTCCTGATTGCCCCCCTGCTAACCGCTCGCAGTTCCAGTGTCTGATCTCCCGTCATGTGATATCAAACAGTGATCTTGAGTCCAGACATCGTTGCATTCGTCCCTGCAATTCACGCTATCTTTTTCGGAATTTTGGTAGAGCATTCATTACATCCTGGGAAGAATAACCTGTTGGCCCTCTTCCTCTGTGTTGTGCAAGTTTATCTCTCTCCTCATCACTTTTGTCAGTCATTCCTGATTTTCCTGCCAGTTTCGTAAAGTGGCTTGTTCTTTTCTCTTTACCGGATTACTTTCCTGTCATGCAAGTTCTCGGAGCGCAGAGCGCTCCATGATGGCTACCCCTGTGAAATCAATGCATATGGTCGGTGGCGGCAGCGTCCTCGTCTGGCACCTTACCGCAGCCGCCACAGGCATACGTGGTTGGCAACACCTTTGTGAGTCAGTACTATACTACAGTGTCCTCCACCACTCTCCACAGATGGTTCATCAATTCTACACCGACGCGAGCACGTTCACTAGGGCAGACACCGGGACGGATGGCGCGGTTAGCACGATGGTCGGGCAGAGGGCAATCCATGACAAGGTGATGGGGCAGAGGGCGATTCTTGAAAAAGCGATGGACCGTGATGGTTTGGATTGGAGGGCGGAGATCAAGACCGTGGATTCGCAGTACTCCCTGAATGGTGGTGTATTGGTAATGGTGACGGGAGCCTTGGCAGACAAAGGCCATTCAACGAGGAATTTTGTGTAGAGCTTCTTTCTCGCTCCTCGAGAGACTGGCTATTACGTGCTGAATGACATTTTTCGCTGCTTGGACAAGGAGGAGCAGCCGACGCCTCCTGTCCCGTCACATTATGCGAACGGCGAACGAGGGTATTGGAGGTGGACCCCACTGCCTGGTGGTAGCTTTGCACCTGGAAAGCTTCCGCCAAACCCAAATCGTACGCCCCGACAATGGGAAAGAGAAAACCGGACCCCACTGCAGCACATCAGCAGGTCTGTCTCGGTTCTCACCCAATCCCTGGCTCTCCTTTCCACATGGGATGGTCGAACAGAGGGAGGTGCGCCCCCCCCCAACCCCCTCAGGATGGCCGTACCACGATGAACGGGGCACATGGAACTGAGTGAAAACGTCTGCCACGTAATTTCCAGCGTTTTGGCCGCTCAGTGTGGATGAATTCCCCGTCTCACAAATTGTCTTCCAGAGCATTGTGGGTTCCCCTCTTATGCTGTGATGCTCCAGCAGCGGGATTCCGGCGGAATGGGTGCTGCGGCCGCTGCTGTGCCGGCGGCTCCGCCAGCTGTGCAGGCGAAGCCAGCACCCCCTGCAACCGATTCGTAGGCGCATCTGCAACCTGTCACTACGGGACCTCCGCCTGTTGCGCAGCCGCCCGCTTCCCCAGTGAGCGACAACACGGACGGAGGACTGAACCTGGACGCAGAAGTTGATGGGAGGTCTGTTTACGTAAAGAATCTTCCTATTAGTATCACGACTCAGCAGCTGGAGGAGGAGCTATCACGTTTTGGACCAGTGAAAGTTGGAGGTGTCAACATCAAAGGCCCAAAGAACACGGCTACTGGTATGCAACAGGGCAGTAATTGTTACGCCTTTGTGGAGTTTGAGGATCAAGCAGCAGCTCATGCATCGATGGAGGCCTCTCCGATTCAAATCATGGGGAAACAGGTTGGGAATGAAGAAAAAAAGCCATTACGCAGAGGTAGAGGCCGTCGAGGACATGGGCGAGGAGATAGTTCGTACAGGCCAATGCCGGGAGGGTATCCTAGTGGCGGTAGGGGTAGATTGCCTATAGATCGTGATGGGAGAAGTGATTGGGAGAACAGAAATGAAGGTAATGTAAGCAGGGGAGGACGAGGTATGCGGAGTAACATGGGCGGCATGGGCATGCAGCCTGGAATGTCGGGGGATTTAAGACGTCTTTCAACAGACGGGCCAGGTGGGCCAAGAATGCCAAGGCGGAACATGCAGCTGCAGATGTCGAGGGGAGGAAGTGGAGTTGGAAGAGCACCAGGAGCATCTGCACAGCCAGTGTGAAATACCGTGAATGCATAGGTGGTGTGCTGTACAGCACTCTGCTGGAGGTTTGCTGGTCCGAATCCCATGTTAGGGAATGTTTGGTGGCATGCAGAGTGAACAGAATGAGTTTGTGTCTCAGAACAGGTAGGAAGGAAAGAGGGGTATGTGGTGAAATGGATGTACTGTGCTGCTGGATAGTGTCTGTAGTTTGATTATGCTGTAGCAGTTTAGTACGTGCGTATGCCTGAACCATGTCTCGGCTGCGGAGGTTGTAAGGGATGCGGTTGTCATCCTGAGGGGCAAGATCGGCATGCCTCAGCTTTGGTGGAGGCAGCGTTGTTCAGGACAAGCCCTGGATTGCACCTCCACCGAGCAGTTTTTGATTGCCGCTGCAGACGTTTCATCTACTTCTGCAGGTTATGAAATGTGCATGCTTTCCTTGTCCTCTGGGGTGCACCTTGCCTGTCTCTTTCTTGGTCAGAGTGTCTTTCCTGATGCCTTCAGACTGTCATTTGCTGCAATTGAGGATTGCATGCTGCCATCCGCAGTCGGTTGATGGGGTTTCGAGGGCCCTGTGTCCTCTTGACTTCTTTTACTGCTTTGGCCCCAAACACCTTGCCCCTACCCCTGCTGATCTCTAAGACTTGTCGTACCCATCATTCTCAACACATCTTCCATGTGGATATACCAGATAGCTTGAGGTTCCTTTGCATTGCTTAGTTTGGTTATTTCTAGAGATTTTATCCAAATCTTTTGTCTCATTTCTTGTGAGAGCTGTGGCGGTCATTGTTTGTGGGTGTCGTACTGATACGCTAAGAGTCGGCTGAGGTTTGACTGTTTTTTTGCAGTCCTAGTCTTGGTGTCATAACTTGTTGTGGAGTTGTGCATGATTTATGTGCTGCTCGCCTCATAGCTTTGTCTTTTGCTATACTGTACCAAATAAGCTTGGGATGGGTCGATGGTTGATTTCCATTGATGACAACGCACAGATTATGTTGGCAGGTGTGAGCATTTCAGTTGGGTGAGGGGTGGATAGCCAACATCCCAGTCTGATGATGTGTTGATAGTCAGCAATCATCTACAATTGGGTTGTTATTACTTGTTAACGAACATGTATGTCTGTCAGATCATCTGATGTTGGATCTCTATGGTCTGTCATGCTGATGGGAGATGTTCTACCGGGGCTCTCGGTTTTTAAATCCCCGCAAACCACAAGTACTGTGCCTGCTGATATGTCAGGTTGATGTCGTTTTCGGTGTCTTTCATCCAGTATCGATAGGTGTCCAACCCACCCCACTAGATCTCCCCAGATCATCTCCATCTATTCTTCTGCATCGGTTGTCATCATAGCCCATTGTGTCTCATTGCCATGATTGGTAGGTTCTCCTTGCAATCTGGTCTGCGTGATGGTCTCTCGTTGTCAAAGTGGGGCCTTGCATGTTTTGAGCTTGCAACATCTGTAATGGTGGGGACTTTCTCTCTCTCTCTCTCTCTCTCTCTCTCTCTCTCTCTCTCTCTCTCTCTCTCTCTCTCTCTCTCTCT